CTCCGTGCTGAGTGTGGAGCCCAACGCTTAGTGTGGAGCCCAGCGTGGGGCTGGATCTCATGACGCTGAGATCCTGACCTCAGCTGAAGTCAAGAGTCGGCTAATGTTTAACTGACTGAGCTGCCCAGGTGCCCTTTGTTTTTGTTTTTTAAGATTTTCTCTTTAAGCAGTCTCTACAGCCAGTGTGAGGCTCACACTCAAACAACCATTTTCTGTTCATCATTTTTGTTGCCTGTATTGGGACTAGAACCACCATACTTTCCATTAATACCTTATTTTATACATAAATAGGTTAGCAAACCTCCTCCCCCTCCATCTTTGTTGATTGTGCTAGAATCCTCAGAAATGCAATGAATCTGTAATTCTTTTGTGGGATTACAGCTGCTGCGTGGAATTCATGTTCCTGCAACACCTGGACTTCGTCTAAGTACACGTCTAAGGCTATGTTGAAGCCTCCTATTATTTTAATCAGTTTTATTGCTCCTTCAACTCAGGCAGTGAGTGTAATCTAGAACGTTTCCCTTCTAGATCATTTAAGAGATAAAATAAGACCATGTTTAGCGCTGGGAGGCACTCTGTTTAAAATTTTCTGTCCGTACCTTTTCTGTTAGAGAAGTTGTTTTTAGCCATGTCTGTTATAGCTCGTCTTTAAGAACAAGTCTCCACTCAGGAGACAGGCTTGGTTGTGTAACCTCAAAACTTAAAGCCAATTATGTAAGTTATCTATCCACCTGGAGAGTAGAAATCTTAAAACTACTGGAGTGATTTTCTGCCTTATAGAAGCCATATTGCCATTGCCCAAAGTCATCTTACCTTTCTTAAGCTTTTTAGATGCATTATTTAGGTTGGTCAGTGTGAGTACTTCAGTGGGGGTTTTGTTTTCAGATTTGCATTACTGACAAGTTCTTAGATCTGTGATTTTTCTTGGCCCTGTTGGAATTACTTTCCAGTTCCTTCTATCTCTCCCCTCCCATGATGAGCTCATTATCTACAACAGTTTTTGGACTTTCACATGCTGACACTTTGAAGCACAGACTGCTAATTAGTATTAAGAAACACTTTGATGTCTACCTGAGCTTTGATAGGCCTTTGGAGTGTTGCTGTGGGATATCTGTCAGGGTAGGAAACAGAAGTCAGGTTGAGAAGTTGAAGATATTTTATTTAGCCTCTTCTGTCACCAGGGCTTATGAACAAATATTTTAAATATTCTATTTACTTGAGAGAAAAAGAGACAGAGAGTGGGGGAAATGGGAGGGGCAGAGGGAGAGGGAGAGAATCTCAACCGGACTCCATGCTGAGCATAGAATCCTATGTGGGGCTCCATCTCATGACCCTGAGATCATGACCTGAGCTGAAATCAAGAGTTGGACACTCAGCTTTCATATGCGGGAAGCGTCGGGTTTAGGCTATTTGATTAAGGAAGCTGAACTAATTGTTCCGATGGATGATAGAAAACATGACATGATAATCAAGAAATTAAGGTGATATGGGTGAAGTCCTGTTTGTTTAGAATCCTGTGGTGCACTGCCAAAAGGTGATCTTAAATCTCAACAGCTTGGGTATTGAGTGGCAAATAGTGTTCTGGAAACTATCAGCGAGGTGTTTTCAATATAGGTCTGAATGTTTTTGCCTAACTATGGCATTGAAGTAGAGAGTAAGTGAGCACTTCCTTGCTTGCTATAATTAAAACGCTTGATTCATCTGGGGGAAAAGAAAAAGTTGGACACTCAACTGACTGAGTGACCTGGGTGCCCCACAACAACTTTATATTGAATCCAGGCTTATTTTATATTTGAATTAATGCATAAGAACCAAAAGTGAGATCTTGAGGTATGTTTCAGATTTTCTTTGGAGCAGGGTTTCTCAGGGAGCCTGAAAAAGTGTGTGGGGCACTGTTGGTGTCAGAGTGGCATGGGGATTAGTAGGCATTGATGGGACGGAGCCAGAGGCACCGTATGTCCTGCACCTACAGACAGTCCTGTACAGTGATGTTTTTTGTCTTTCCTCAAATGTTGGTAACGTCACCATTGAGAAACCTCATCTCATGATTGAGAAACCTTAATGCAGCATTAAAGTGTGACGTACATTCAAATCAGGTAACATTAGGCATCTTCATGAGTTAAACTTAACACAGTACCTTTTGTGTTTTTAATTTTTTGAAGTATATATGACCTAAAATAAACTGCGTGCATATTTATAAAGGTTCAGGTTGATGAATTTGGATGTGTGTTAATACTGATGAACCCATCACAGTGAAGATAGTGAACATTTCTATCACACCCCAAAATTTCTTCTTCCCCTCTGAAATCTCTCCTGCTTTTCTTCTCTCCCTGCTCCCAGCTACCTCTGATCTGCTTTCTGTCATTATATATTAGTGTGCATTTTCTAGAGTTTATGTAAATAAAATCATACAGGGTGTACTCTTTTTCTGGGTTCTTTCAGCATAATTATTTTGAGACTTCATCTCATTGTGTGTTATTCATTTAAAATGTTTTTAAAATTTAATTTCAATTTAATTAACCTATAGTATATTATTAGTTTCAGAGGTAGAGTTCAGTGATTCATCAGTGGCATATAACACCCAGTGCTCATTCCATCAAGTGCCCTCCTTTAATGCCCATCACCCAGTTACCCCATCCCCCCACCCACCTCCCGTCCAGCAGCCCTCAGTTTATTTCCTAGAGTTTAGCATCTCTTATGGCCTCCCTCTCTGTTTTGGTCTTAATTTTATTTTTCCTTCTCTTCCCCTATGTTCATCTGTTTTGTTTCTTAAATTCTACATATGAGTGAAATCAAATGGTATTTTTCCTTCTCTAACTGACTTATTTCACTTAGCATAATACCCTATAGTTCCATCCATTTTGTTGCAAATGGCAAGATTTCATTCTTTTTGATAACTGAGTAATACTCCATTTACTCCTGGGCCATAAGTTTTTGTTTCTTCGTTTTCTTCTGGGGTATCTTTTTCTTCTGTGCAGCCTCCTCTTCTGGTTTAGGAACAATCTGGTCTTCTTCAGTAAGGATTGCTCAGTGTGCCAGGAAGAGCTCTTGTGTGGGTTAATCTGACCATGAGCCCCGTAAGTTCTACACTGCACCTTGGGGGCTTGTTCACCTGGATGTACTCAATGACCGGAGAATCGACATCTAAACCCTTAAGTTCAGCATTACTCTGCATTGTTAAGCATGTGCAGTAAAAATTCAGCACTCTTTTTGGGCCATGACCCTGTGTGCAGCCCCACTGTTTGGCCTGGGCACACCTACCACCTCTACCATTGTAGCAAGGCAATGGCACACACGGCTTCTGCAAAGTGACATCCTTCAGATACTTAGTGGCTTTTCAGATAATTGTACCCTTGATGGCCTGGGCAGTTTCATGTGTGTTCTTAAAGTAAACACGAAGATTTGAACCTTGTGGTTTGCATGATTTTGTAGGGTTTTCTGTCCGGGTCAAGTGAACAGCGAGCCATTTTTAGAGATCACCTCAATCTGCTTCAGGGAATAGCACCCAACTGTTTTCCAAAGTGGTTGTACTGTCTTATATTCCCACCAGCAGTTTCTCCATGTTCCTGTCAATCTTGGTCTGGCCAGTACTTTTAATTTTAGCTATTCTAACAGGTGTGTAGTAATAGCTCATGGTTTTAATTTGTGTTTCATCAGTTACCAGTGAATGATGTTGAGCATCTTTTTGTCTGTGTGTTGTGTGTGTGTGTGTGTGTGTGTGTGTGTGTGTGAGTGAGAGAGACATGTCTGTTCAAATCTTTTGCCTTTTTAAAAATTAGATTTTTTTTATAATTGAATTTTGGGAAGTTTTTTATATTCTAGATACAAGTCCTTTATCAGAGATATGCTTTGCAGACATTTTTTTTCAGTCTGTGGGTTGTCTTTTCATGCTCTGAACAGTGCCTTTTGAAAAACCAGAAGCTGTTAGTTTTGATGAAATCTAGTTCGTCGGCTGATTTTTGTGTGGATTGTACTTTTGTTGTCATTAGAGATCTTTAACCCCAGGTCATAAAGATTTTCTCCAGTGATTTCTGTGATAAGTTTTTCAGTTCTAAATTATGCATTTTTTTAATTTTATTTTTTTAAGATTTTATTTATTTATTTGACAGAGGGAGACACAGCAAGAGAGGGAACACAAGCAGGGGGAGTGGGAGAGGGAGAAGCAGGTTTCCCACCGAGCAAGGAGCCCGATGTGGGGCTCGATCCCAGCACCCTGGGATCATGACCTGAGCTGAAGGCAGACACTTAACAACTGAGCCACCCAGGCGCCCCTCTAGATTATGCATTTAGATCTGTGATCTGTCTTGAGATAATTTTTGTTTATGGTATGATGTATGGATCAAAGCTAATTAAAAATTTTTTTTTGGCAAATGGATAGCCAGTTGTTCCAGCTCTGTTTGTTGAAAAGATTATTTTTTGTCCTTTGTGCTTTTGTCAAAAATCAGTTGTCCTGGGCGCCTGGGTGGCTCAGTCGTTAGGCATCTGCCTTTGGCTCGGGTCATGGTCCCAGGGTCCTGGGGTCGAGCCCCGCATCGGGCTCCCTGCTCCATGGGAAGCCTGCTTCTCCCTCTCCCACTCCCCCTGCTTGTGTTCCCTCTCCCTCTCTCACTGTGTCTCTTTCTGTCAATTGAATAAATAAAATCTTAAAAAAAAAAAAAAAAAAAAGTTGTCCTCATATGATTCCTGAAGTCAAGTATTATTTTTATACCTCAACTTTATGTTTGTTTTTTTTTTTTAAAGCTGCTTTGGCTTTTGTAGGCCACTTGCATTTGAATATGAATTTTAGAATAAAATTGTCAGTTTCTGCAAAAAAGCCTGCTTGGATTTTGATTGGGTTGGCTTTGAACCTATAGATCAGTTTGCTGTTTATTTATATGTAATTTCTTTCAGCAACGATTTGTAGTTTTCCTTGTACATGTTTTGTCAGACTTATCCCTAGAAGTTTAATATTTATTGATAATATTGTAAATAATGTTTTTAAAACTTGTTCTCCAATTTAGGTCTTGTCCAATAAGCATGTGGCTCCTGATCATCTGTTGCAAATCTGCCAACGCATTGGTCCCATGTTGGATAAAGAAATTCCACCCAGTATTTCAAGAGTCACTTCTTTACTTGGTGCAGGAAGGCAGTCTTTGCTACGTACAGCAAAAGGTACCTTAATTTGAAGAAGTGTTCTGCTTTGTAGCTTAATAATAATTATAATTGTGAAGTAATGTATGCATTGTGGAAGAAAGGCGATATGTAACTATAAACCATGCTGTGGACTATAAAATTTTCTGCGTTTAGCATAGACATTGAATTTTACTACGTAAGTGTTTAATGGGTCCTTCTGCATTTAAAAAAATGATAAAGGTTTAGATGTTAAGTGAAAAAGCTTGAATTTATTCTGAGATGTGTTTGAGGTTTTATCGATGTGAGTTCTTAATTTTCCATTTTGTAGCTCACTTATAACTTCATTGAATGTAATTGTATGTGTCTAATAAACTCTTTAAAAGCTAGAAGTATTTTATTTGGTATTTAGATTCTGAAAGCCCTTTGTAATAAGGGGAAGTGATTTTTTAAATTGGTAGCAGTTTGAAACAAGCACCAAAAATGTACAATTGCATGGTTCTTTTTCATCAATTTAATTTTTTTGCAAAGTTATGTGGTAGCAAAATGTTTGGAATTGCTGTTCTTTTTCTGTTAGCTTGGTATAAATCACCTAGACTAAGTATATGTATGTGATATGATCTATGTATACGACGTGGCTTAACTGCTAATGGGCAAGAATGTTGGCTCTTCTGATCCTGAGTATATGTCAAGTTCATTCCCCATGATTATCTTTAAGATCCGTTGCTGATACGGTGCTGCCTCCTAGGTGCACCAGCAGCATAAAGCTTGACTGAGAAAGAACAACCCTCCTTCTTGGTTCCATGCCAGACTGGTTTGTCAGCTTTAGTTATTTCTTAGTGCTCTGTAGCCCTGCCACACTGTGGCTTGGATCAGGAAACTGTTGTTATTCTCCCTTCTCTGTGTCCCCATTCCCCTTGTAATTATTCTATTTTAGGTTGTTATGTAGTAGTTGCCTGAGTGGCCTGTTTTCCTCTGTTTTCTTTACTTGTGTCAAGCTCCGTGTCGTTTTGTGATGAGCACTGCTTTAGAACTGGCAGACCTTAGAAGAGACTTAAGCCAGCTGCCCTAGGGTAGGGGCCCATATTTCTCTGTTTTGTACTGGTGTCAAGAGAGGATGCCTTGTAACTGCTCTTTGGTCATGATAGTGGTAATGAATCCGTTCATGTAAAAAGTAATATGTGTGTTAGATTGGGGCACCCGAGGCTCAGTAGAGGTTTATATGATGCCTTCCTTCCCTTCCTCTTTCATTTGTGAAGAAGCTAATTTCTGGCACAGCATAATCTGTGTTCTGCTGCTATCTCCTATAGAGGGGGCAGATGTTTCTTCTTAGTGTATTTGTTGATAGGTCAAAAAGGGACGGGACTCTAGAATTAGCGTTCACACTCACAGATCCTATGTGCTCTTGGGTAAAGGCTTATCCATGATCCTAAAACAAGAGGAAAGCCATTTAATTTTGTCAGTATTTCCTAAGGAGATTAAAGTCATGGTAATATTGGCCAAAATTGATTTTGAAACTCCATTAACATTTTAAGGATTTTCATATCAGTCAAATAAAATTTTTCTTACAAAAATTTCCATTTTGGGAAAGTTGGATCCGTTGTGATTAAGATCTCTTACCATTCATATTGTGTGGTGTAATTCTGCCTTGACAAATAAAAACTTACTCGGCATAGACTAGGACTTGGGAGTCAAAAGATCTGGTTTTACGGTCCGTCTGGACTTGGTCATTGGCAGTGGGTCTCTTGAAAGGTCCCAGAACCTTTGAGCCTCAGTTACCTCACTTGTGCATTGGCGATCACACCTACCTCACAGGGTTGTTGTGAGGATTCAATGAGATGATGTATGTGGAAAGCACTTTGTACATTGTAAAGTGCTATACTCATGTTAGCTGTTGTTGTATCTGAGATGTCTTAATTTTTTTTTCCCCTTCAGAAATAGTCTAATAAACCTCTAGGGCTTTTCTGTTAAAGTATATTAGTTGGTAAAACTTTGAATAAACAGTTTGTTACAATATACGTAAGTATTCTATAAAATCTTTCTTGGGGTTAACTTTCAAGATTTTATGTGTATCTAAAATTCGTTTTAAAGACTGCAGGCACACAGTTTGGAAGGGCTCTGCCTTTGCTGCTCTTCACAGAGGAAGACCTCCAGAAATGCCAGTGAACTATGGTTCCCCACCCAGTCTTGGTGAGTGAGCGTGGCTTGGCACGTGACCGAAACCCTGTTTTTAATTTCTTGACCGATTTTGTAACGGCTTTGTAACGGCTATATTAAAATTTAAAAGGAAATACTGGTAGTGTTGTTTCAGTAGTGATAAGTATCCATTTCCAGACTTACTGTTTTCCTAAAGTTATTACTAAACGTAGTAAAAATTATTGAAAGATAATCTTATGCTAATAAGATTACTATATAATGGTGATTATAGTAGAACAGAGTTGGGGAGAAACTTGTCCTTAGGATTTCTTGAATATAGATTCTGTGACCCTGTAGAAATTGTTGTGGAGTTTTTCTTCATTTTTTACATTATTGGCTCTTCTTAACCATTTTCATTGTTTTTATTTCCTAGTGGAGATACATCGAGGAAAACAACTCACAGGGTGTTCCACTTTTAGCACAGCATTTCCAGGAACTATGTATCAGCATATAAAAATGCACAGAAGGATTCTTGGACATCTGTCTGCTGTTTACTGTGTAGCATTTGATAGGACAGGACATAGAATCTTTACCGTGAGTTAATGTTTTAAACTCAATTTGGTATCATTTGGAGCACTTCAGTGTGCATTAGAATCATGTAGGAGATCTTACAAAACATATAGATTCTGTGGTTCCCATTCTCAGGGATTTTGACTCCATAGATCTGGGGTGGGGCCCATGAATTTGCATTTTTATTAAGTATCCCAAGTGATTCAGATGCAGATAGCCAGGCCTTGTGTTTGTGAGACATTGACTTAGTGGTTCATGGGCATGATCATCAAGGATCTTAAAAATATGTATGCCTAATACTTCCCTTCCATCCCATTCTAGACCTACTGATGACGGTAGTTTCTAGTAGTATGTCCAGTAACCAAAACAGACCAAAAAAGCTTCCATAAAAATCCAAATCTTTGCAAGTGATTCATATTCATATTGACTACTCATTGATCCAGGGAAATTGATTACTTGAACAGTGAAAGATTATTTTATTATTATTATAAAACTATAAATATTTGTAATCTAACATTTTAATTTTTTTTTTTAAAGATTTTATTTATTTATTTGACGTTGAGAGAGACAGCGAGAGAGGGAACACAAGCAGGGGGAGTGGGAGAGGGAGAAGCAGACTCCCTATTGAGTAGGGAGCCCGACGTGGGACTCGATCCCAGACCCCGGGATCATGACCTGAGCCAAAGGCAGACGCTTAATGACTGAGCCACCCAGGCGCCCCTAACATTTTAATATTTTAAGGGAAGATTACGATGGGTCAGAAGTTTAAGTTTCCTTTTTCAGTTGTGAGATTCAGAGTAGATACTCAAAAATTTGCTGAGTTAGATGGATGCTGGCTGGTGCCACAAATTTGAGACCCTGTTGGGTTATTTAAAATGAGGGTGCTAGTCCCGTTCGTTTTTAGTTGTTCTTGAGATTGCCACTTACTTAGCCCGTGAACCGTAGGTCTGTCCTAATGCATATCAAATTATTTAGCTTGATGTGAACAAAACTGACATTTAACCATTGTTAATTGATATAGGTGAGCCATGAACTTTTAGTTGAACTCGTTGCTTGGTGGGGAATTTTGGGAAAATAGTATTTATAATGTGGTCTGATCCACAGAAATGAAAACTTCATAGTATCTTTATATAGATGTTATTTGATATGAAGGAAAAAAATTGTTCCATACGTGTTCTGACTGTAAGATTCATAATTTACAGAATATTGTATAGTTGGAAAGAGAAGAGTTATAGATACTTAATTTGAGTGACATGTAAATGGTATTTTTAAAAATGCTAGGCCACCTTGGTTACTTCTGAGTATTAGCAATTGTGAATAAAGTTGCTATAAACATGAAAAAAAATGCTAGAAAAGACTTGTTTTAACATTTGTTTTTGGGTGTATTTTTTCTCAGGGTTCAGATGATTGTTTGGTGAAGATTTGGTCAACACACAATGGCCGCCTGTTATCAACATTAAGAGGTCATTCTGCAGAAATTTCAGATATGGCAGTAAACTATGAGAATACAATGATTGCTGCAGGGAGCTGTGATAAGATAATTAGAGTGTGGTGCTTGAGAACTTGTGCCCCAGTTGCTGTGCTCCAAGGACACACGGGGTCAATCACATCTTTACAGGTAAACTAGCTTTAGGCACACTTGTGTATGAACTTTTGTTTAAAACTCTTTCTCCTTAGAGATGAGAAATAGTTAAGATGCTTAGTAACTATGTGATCTATTTTAGTAACCAAGAGAAAATGTAATTAATCATACCTCCATGAATCTTGGAAGGGTGAGGTAATGTCTGGTGCAACTAAGGGCTTTACGTGAAGGCATGATGGATAACTTACTGCTTCCTAATTAGGCTTACAGTTAAGCTGGGGGAATGTCAGTTAGAAACAGGATAGGTTCATGATCTTTCTTTTTTCCTTTCTTTCTTTTTATTTATTTATTTGAAAGAGAGAGACATTGAGGGAGGGAACACAGGCACGGGGAGTGGGAGAAGGAGAGGGAGAAGCAGGCTTCCCACTGAGCAGGGAGCCCATTGCGGGGCTCGATCCCAGGACTCTGGGATCATGACCTGAGCTGAAGACAGACACTTAACGACTGAGCCACCCAGGCGCCCCGGTTCATGATTTTTCTACTTTAAAACCTGTGGATTTTTCTAAGTTGATTAAATTTGCTGAAGTATATTTAAAAAATCTTTTCGCTTTATTGTGGAGGAGAATTTTACACATACACAGAGTAGAATAGTATAATGAACCCCTAGGTGCCCATTAACCCATGGCCAATTTTTTGCTCCAACCACACTTCACTTTGTACCTAAAGCAAATCCTAGATTTCATATCATTTTTTCTGTAAATATTTCAGTGTGTCTTTCTAAAAGATAAAAATTTCTTTTTAATAAACACAACCAAAACATTATCATCATACTTACCTTTTCTCATGTTCAAATTTCCAGTTGTCTCATCAGTAGCAATATTTTATTTGTTTGAAGGAGGAACCAGACAGAACTTATATCTTACAGTTGGTTACTGTCAATTAAAAGAAGCTTAAAACAAATTGCATTCCCTTGCCAAATTTTTTAAAAAATCCCCCTTCACTTTCTTTGTTGAAAGAGTTGGGTTGTTTGTGTGTGGAGTTCCCACAGTTTGTGTGGAGTTCCCACAGTCTGGATGTTACCGTCTGCATCCTTGCGGAGTGGATCAACATGTTCCTTTGTATTTCCCGTAACTTGTTTGTTGGATCCAGAGCAGTAGTTCTGCTAAACGTGCATGTGAATCACTTGGAGGCCTTGTTTAAAACACAGATTGCTAGGCCCCACCACCAAAGATTCTGATAGAAAGTGTCGGAGGTGGGGCCTGAGAATGTGCATTTATAATAAGTTCCCAGGTGCCCCTGCTGCTGTTCTTCCTCCCCCAGGACTGCACTTGCAGGATCGTTAATCGAAAGGCTTGAGCACCTGGAGGTGTACGCTCTTCTAGTAGGCATGGAGAGTCTGGTAGTCTCTCTAGCAGCCATTGAGGATACTGTCTTAGAGTCATTAGTTCATTCAGAACTGAAAATGGTGCTGTTCGGTCAGTTTTTTGAAAATTTTGTTAGGAAGATACCGATTTGTAAGGCCTTTTAAGGCACATTGGTGCCTCCGATTTGATTTTGGATAAAATTGTGGGAGTGGTTCCACTTTCAGGTACGAATGCACCCAGGCTATATGTTAAGTGATCTCTAAATAGATTTGGTGTGAAGTCCTGTGACAAGAGACACTTTTCTCGACTCTTCCAGTCAGTTTTCTTGAAGAATAGAGATAACAGATTTATTTTTGAATGAAGACAACCAGAATTGAGATAGTGTTTTATTTTGAAACTTTAAGCAAGGTTTTTGGTGTGCCTGTTTATTTTAAGGAAAGAGTTCTTTAGAAGTTTTCATAGTCTGAACATTAATTCAAATCTTCACTGTGTGTTCCACAATTGACATTGTGTTATTTGATATGAACTTCTAGGCCAGTATAGCAGCAAATGAGAAAACTTCTGACTTTGTGCTCGTGTCTGTCCTCAAACCATCATGGAATCCCTCAGTGTGAAAGTGGAGCTCTGGTCTTTCCTGTAACCCATTCCTTTGGTAATGGGGCCCACATTCGGTTATCACCTACTGAAAATATCTGAAAAATCTGTTTGGGTGGTAGTAAGTTTTTATACACCAGAAGGTTCATCTCTACTTGCCAGTGGTTACCAAAGTTCAAAGTCAAACAAGTACACAATTTTAGTTAATTAATCTTTTTTATATTCTTTGCCCCGTTGTTACTGGCATGTAGAAACCATTTTTCACTATAGTAAAGGTTTTGTTTTTTTTTTCAATTTATATTAAAAGATGCACAAGGAATATTGTTTGCAGAAAAATTAGACAGTAATTAATAGCAAATAAGAAAATAAGCCTCCATGATCTTACTATCTAGAAATAGTCACTGAATATTTTGATGTACACCTTTCTCAAGGGTAGCATTATACAATGTCATTTGATATAATTTACATTCTCAAAAATGTTAGTATTATTACAACCAGAAGTAGAACCTTTTGTCTGTCTGAAAGAATAGCAAATGAGCATTCTGCAGGAAGGAAAGACACTGTGTAGGTGACTTGGACTAGCTTTCCTTTTTGAAAAGAACTTGAAAAGTTAGACACAGGTGAAAAAATACCTGAGATACACACCATGAGAAATTAGGACACCAAGGTAAGGAAAGCGAGGAGCTATGAGTCAGAAGGCATTTGCCAATTCCAGAGGAGGTGGCCATTAAAGCTTAGCAGAATTTTTGACACACTTGTAGGGGTAGAGAGGATATATCTTGAAAATACCTACACATAAGTTCGACTAATTAGAATAAAAAAATTGCAGCAGATAACTGGAAGTTAGTACAAAGGAAATTCTAGAGTTGAAATAAAAAGCTGAATTTCAGAATTGAGTGGATGGTTTTAATAGATTAGACATGACTGAAGAAATTGGAGATTTAATGAACTGGAAGTGAGGTCAGAAGAAAATAAAGGGATTGAAGCGCAGCAGGAAGAGGTTGGACTCGGGCTCTGCTAAAAAGATACTACATGTCTGTACATACACATGCCACATGTGTAATTGGGTTTCCTGAACAAGAGGAGAGAATGAAGCAGAGCTGTATTTGAAGTGGTAACAGCCGAGAATTTTGCAAAATGCACTGGAGGAATAGAGCCACAGATTGCAGAAACATCGGGGATCTTGAGCAGAATAAAGAAGAATACAGAAGACTACAGCCATTGAACATCACCCTACAGAGAAATCTTAAAGTAAGCTGAAGAAAAAATAAAGAAGCAATAAGACTGATGATTAGCTTTTCAGTAGGATAGTGGAAGTCAGTAGGCAAAGAAATAATTCTAAAGTGCTAATAAGGGCACCTGGCTGGCTCAGTTGGTAGAGCATGCAACTTGATCTCAGGGTCGTGTGTTCAAGCCCCATGTTGGGCTAAATGCATAAAAAATAAATAAATCCAAATGTAAGATTATTTTTATTTAAGTAAATAAAGTGCTAATAGGAAATGACTGCCTGTCAAGAATTCTGAACCTATCGAAAATAGTGCTTTAAACACATTTTCAATTTCCTAGCAAGGGAACGGCCCTAAGGGGGAATTCTAAATAGTAATAGGCCGAGAGGGAAATATGATCCCAGGCTTGGAGATACAGGAAGGAATAAAGAGTTAAAAAAAAAAAAAGTGGGCACATAAAAGCATCGATTGTATACAAGTATAATAGCTGATGGGTTTAAAAATTACTATAGAGAATCTAACAAATAATAGTAGTAAAAGCTTGTATATCAGGAGGAGGTAACTTTAGTATTTTTAACATCTTTGTGTTGTTTGAGAAGTAGACTTTTAATAAGATGAAGATGGATTTTGTAATCTCCAAAATAAAAACTAAAAGAATTGTAAGAGAGTGTATAACTACCAAGCTAATAGAAGGGGAAATGCGAAATAATTAAACAAAACAAAAGGCAAGAAAGGAGAGCAAAAGAAAGGTGGGAAGGTCTAGGATGCTACCAAGCTGTGATTAGATAGCAGTATGTTCATGAACACTTGATTTGTAAGTGCATTAGGTGGTTCCAGCGAGAGAGAAAGATTTCAGACAGAACTAAGAAACAAAACTCCATCTTTGCTATAAGGCTGTAGGGAGGCTGGAAGTATAGGATGGAAGACTTTTGCAAATACTAACCATAAGGCTGGTGTAGCATTCTAATATTAGCTAATAGGGCTTTAAGGCAGTTAACATTTTTAGAGGCAAAGAGGGACAATTTATAATAAGTTTCATGAGATAGAAGAGTTCTAAATTTAGGAATGTGGCATCAAAATACATAAAGCAAAAATAGAATTTATGAGGAAAAAATGGATCTCCATAATCATAGTGGGAGGTTAACACACCTCCATCTCTCCATAATTGAAAGAAGAACCTATGCTATAAAGAAATCTCGATTTGAACAGATGATGACCTTGACCTGGATGCCAGATTGAAACATCGCATATAATATCTGCATCATTTCTTTGTAGTCATAAGTGGGGTGTTTATATAAATACTACCCACATTCTGACCCTTAAAGCAACTTCTCAACAAATTTGAAAATACTGAAATAATCCCAAGTATATGTTCTCTGACAGTAGTGTAGTTAAACCAGAAATTACTAACAGCCAGAATTAATGGGAGAATAATCCTCAAATTAAGCAGTATACTTTTAAATAATCCACATATTAAAGGAGAAATCACAATAAAAATTTGAGAATACTTGAACTGATTAATGAAAATATCAGGTATTATGTATCGTGGGATGTAGAGTTTGGTAGGCAGCCACCAAGATGATGTTTGATAATTCTTGCTGCCTGGACTCATGCCCCTTGACCTGTCTTATTCTCTTGACTCATTCATCTTGAGGGAAACCAGCTGCCATGTTGATAGGACACTCAAACAGCCCTATGGACTGTTTCGTAACATTCATGGCGATTAACTGAAGTTTCTTGCCATAAGCATGTTGAGTCAGGCCTTTGGGAAGCGGGTCCGCCATCCCCCATGTAAGCCCGGGCTGACATCTACTGTAATCTCATGAGACCCTGAGCGAGAACCACCTAAGCTCCTGAATTCTTGACCCTTAGTGATTTGGGGTATGAATATATATTGTTTTCGGTAGCTATATTTTGGGGTAATTTGTTACATGGCATAAGATTATTAATACACAGCGGAAGCTGTGCCCAAAGGGAAATTTATAGCCCTCAATGCATGTATTTTTTTTTTTTTAAGATTTTATTTATTTATTTGAGAGAGAGAATGAGAGAGAGAGAGCACATGAGACGGGGGAGGGTCAGAGGGAGAAGCAGACTGCTGGCAGAGCAGGGAGCCTGATGCGGGACTCGATCCGGGGACTCCAGGATCATGACCTGAGCCGAAGGCAGTCGCTTAACCAACTGAGCCACCCAGGCGCCCCAATGCATGTATTTAAAAAAGCTGAAATTCAGGGGTCAAGTGTATTTCTCAGAAAGTTAGAACAGGAAACAATAGAGGACAAGGACATTAGGAAGATAAGTACAGAAATTAAGAAGAGAAAGTAAGCATAACACTAGAGAGGATCAACAAAGCCAAAAGTTCTTTGAAAGACTAAAAATGTTGCTATAAGAATGCTCAAGAAGAAAATGTCAAAAGTTACCATTGTCAGCTTTGAAGAGGAGCATCTCTCTAGACCCTTTAGACATTAAAAAGAGGATATTTTATTTATTTAAAAAATTTTTTGATGTAATCTCTACCCCCCCCGCCCCAGTGTGGGGCTCAAACTCCTGACCCTGAGATCAAGAGTTGCTCTTCTGACTGAGCCAGCCAGGTACCCCTAAAAAGATGGCTATATAGGAAATTTGAAAATTAAGATGCAACAGGTAAATATTCAGAAAAACACTTATGAAGACTGCCACAAAAAGGAAAAAAATCTGAATAGATCTATAACTATAAAGCTGTGTAGTTAAATTTCTTACCCACCTATGTAGTATTTCTGTTAAAAAAAAGTTTAACCTAAATCTCATGAGGAAGCAGTGAGACAAATTCAAATTAAGAAACAGTCTGTGAAATAAATCTCCTATATCTTTCAAAAGTTTAGTTTCAAGAAAGGCAAGAAAATAATGTGTCATATAAGGAAACTAAGAAAATGGTACAAGTATAAATGTGATGTGTGAGCCTTGATTTGGTCTTGGCTTTAGGAGTGAAGAAGGCCTATAAAGCACATTTGAGAAATTAGGATAAATTTCAGTATGAACCATATATTACATAATAGTATTATATTGATAATACATTTCTTGAGTGTTGGCAGGCTTGTTATAGTTATGGAGTAGAAAGTCACTGTTCTTAGGAGACTCATGCTGAGGGTCTTAGGGCTGAAGTGTTGTGATTCAGGTCCACATAGTTCATTTCTGTCCATGTATGGCAAGAGACAAGTATGGTGCCATATTATATGTATGATATGCTTTAGAAAGCCATGAGAATCCATTGAAAATGCTTTGACAGGTTACAGTTTATATCTTCTAAAATAATAGCTCTGGGACCAGATAGTGCCAATGGCTGCACAGCATGTGAATGTATTAAATGCTACTGAACTGTACCTTTCATTTTTATTTTTTTAGACAGGAGGAGGGACTGAGAAGGGGGAGGGGAAGAGGGGAAAGGGAAGAGAGATAATCTTAAGCAGACTCCACGTTCATTGTGGAGCCCGGTGTGGAGCTGGATCTCATGACCCTGAGCTCATGACCTGAAACAAAATCTAGTCAGATGCTTAACTGAGCCACCCAGGTGCTCCGTGAGTTGTACATTTTAAAATAGCTAAAATGGTGAATTTTATGTTGTACAAATTTTCCCCCTCCACAGCTTTGTTTAGAATGCACATGTAACAAACATAACAAAGATTTGCATTTAGCAGTTGATAGAGTAGCTAACTACCTTTGAGTAGTACATTCTTTAATAGCAAAACAGAGGATCAGCATACATTAAAAACTTATTTTGCCACCAAACAAGTTGTAAAAGTAGAAGTTATTATGCACCCAGGCATATGTTATATACCGAATAGTTACTGAAAATGTGTAGATTTCAAAACTGTTGTGACTTTGGAAGTAGCCATGTGAGATTGTAGTACAGAATCACGAAGCCACCAGTGACTCTGAGAAATCATACTTGTTACTGTTTCCTTTATGCAGGACTTATCTAACCTATCTTGGAAAAGTGAGACTCATTTTTAGTATACAGAAATAAATATGGTCACTGATGAGTAGCTTTGAGGATGATTAATGACGCATGGCTGGCTGTCAGTGATCTGCATTTGAGGAATGTTGCTACTTAGAAACAGTGAAGAAAAGACTTGAAAGGTTAATGATGCCTGTTGGGCACTGAAAAAAAATCTAAAAAGAAAACTCCAAACTCAGAGGACTCACTTGTGAATTTTATTAAAACTTACTAGAACTCCTGAGATCTTAGTAAACCGGATGAATATAGGACCTATGTCCTAAAACCAAAACTTTGCTATAAACCACCATAACTAATTAGATGTAACGGAGTACGAACATAATTCACAGTAGTAACAAAAGCCTTCAAACACATATACCAGGAAATGGGGAAAGTCTGTATGAAGAAAAGTCTTAAAAATAATGACAGAACCTTAGGGTCGGTGGTCGGGGGGTGGAGGAGGGAATAATCTATATTAGTGAAAATGTCTAGTATACTCCTGAATGAAGATTCGGTGATGTAAAGATAGCATCTCTCTCTGTCTTGGTATAAAGTTAGTGTGTTTATATTTGAAATACCAGTTGCTTTGTTTTAATGGACTTTAGCATGCCATCAAGTTCATTTAGAAGAAAATAAGCACAAAGAGCCCTTCTCCCCCCCCCACCTCCCCAGAAAACCTCTAAGCAAAACAAACCTCACATCTTTTGCCGTGCTAGATATTTAAAAACACTTTAGAGGTGTTACAGAGAAAACAGTATGGTGTCAAGCTAGGGACAAAATAGCAACACCACTTGTGTATCTAAGAATTAGATTTACTTAGAACATAGGTGACTTAAAGGAGTTAACTCTTCCGCAGAAATTAAGGTTTAGAATTCTTAAAGTACTCTATGCAGATTTACAAATTTTACTGTGATGTTTTAATTTTAATTAACAATATTTGATTATTAATTACCTTCAGTTATTAATTTTAACGGGATATTCTCCAAAACTCAGTTTTAGTCCATATTCTGGGACACATCTGTTTAGATGTAAGTAATCACTTTCAACATTGAAAAACCCTTCATTTCCTGTACTTGAAGAGAAAGAAATTGGGAGAAGCTTCTTTGAAGAAGTATTAGGTTCAAATCCTACCTCCCTTACAAAGTGTATAATCTTGAGAAAAATCATGAAACATAATAAACTATGTCTCTGGGATGTTGTAGTGATAAATAATTATGTAAATAACGTAAAGAAATTTCTTCCCAGCTCTTCCTTTTCTATTAATGGCAGCCCTGGTCTTTGTTTGCTAACCTCCTTTGTGTTGAATGACTCACGAGTCAGCAAGTTGTGGTGTTCTTCATGGCTTTTTCCTCCCCATTCTGGGGAAAGGAAGGGAGTACTTCCTTCCGGTTAAGGTTCTTAGATTAACTGGATTGATTCTTAGTTGTTTTTCTTATCTGTTTCCTTTCAGTGACTATTGTATACTTCTGTCTGACACATTTTTGGGTTTTACTTGAGAACTGCAGTTACTTCTTGCTCTTATTGGGTCCAGATTCTCTACCCATTTAACCCATTCCTCCACCACTTGCAATAATGAGCACTTCACTCATATAGATATTTCTGTTGCTGTCACATACCATGTTCCCTCTCACTTTGGTACTTTTGTTCATATTCTTTTGCCTAGTGTGTTTTCTTGTTTTCTTTGTATTTTCCTCTGTTAAGCCTTGTTGGGTGTCTCTGGTCCAAATTGGTCTTACATTGTCTAGCTTGTTTGTGTCACACAGTTGAACTTTGTTAAACCTAAGTGTTAGCTCATTTCTGAAGTTACGGTATAATTCTTGTGTTTTCTTAGAATACTTTTATAGCTTTTTTTTAAATACTTGAATTTTTGATCTACTTGGAATTGATCCTGATGTACAGTCCAAAGAATAGTTTCCAGATTACTGCACAGTTGGTAAATCATTTATGCAGTGATTGTTTCCGCAACCAATTTTGGCACCTTTATCTTAGCTCTTACATTAAGGTCCATTTTGGACTTCATAGTATATTTTCCATTGGTCATTCTGTCACTGTACCTACCATGCCCCATAATTTTCATTATTGAGACTGTATCATGCTTTCATATTGATAAGACCAGGACTTCACTTTCTCTTTGTAAAAGTTTTTCTTGTTTATTAGTTTTGAAAGTAATCTTTTAATGAGATCACATTACATTTATAAATTAGAGGTAACCTAGGTTGTGATTTTTCACTATACTGTCGCGTGTATTTTGTAATTCTTATGTTTTACTTAAGTGTGTCAGTTGAAATTAACTTTGAAAAACCATTAAACTATGACTTCGGTAGAAGCTCAGGAAACTGAATTGTCTGTGTTGTTGCATTTTAGTTTAGCCCAATGGCCAAAGGCTCCCAAAGATACATGGTCTCTACTGGTGCTGATGGAACAGTTTGTTTCTGGCAGTGGGATTTAGAATCCCTGAAATTCAGGTAAGTGGCTGTAATTATGTGATAAGTTTTCTTTCTTTAGTGTTTAGTCTAATGAGATGAAGTCTGATTATAAAGGGAAGTTCTATATTGTGGTTGCCTTTTTACTTTTTATTATATACAGCGTTAGTGCCTTATTGACTGTTTACAGTGTGGTGTTTATAAAGATTTACTTTAGAGAGCGCACAGGGGAGGGGCAAAGGGAGAGGGAAAGAGAGAATCTCAAGCCGACTCCACACTGTGTGTGGAGCCCGGTGTGGGGCTTGGCCTCACAACCCTCCGATCATGACCTGAGCTAAAATCAAGAGTTGATGCCTAACCATCTGAGCCACCCAGGCGCCCTTACAGTGTACTATTTAGATGGATATGTAAAAGAAACACAGCTATTCTATCTTAGTGGGCACATTTTATGGGGGAAAAAAAAGTGAGATTGTATGTATGTGAAATGTTTTGAAAAATATTAGAGATGTGCTGTCCAGGATGGTAGCCAGCGGTGTGTGACTTCAGATGTGGGTAGTGCATTCGAGGGACTGAATTCTTAGTTTCATCTTAAAAACTGATACTTGATTCAAGTATCACAGAACCTTTAAGCATATTTCAAATAACCTATGTGAATTTAGTTTTTCAACTGTGAGTTTTAGGAAACCGAATACAGATAAAGTATCTTTGATGAAAACTGCTCAAATTGAGATGTAGTATGTATTTTGTATATTCTGGAAGATTTCAAAGATGTAGTGTGAAAAGAAGGATCTAAGGTTCTCAATATTTTATTCATATTGATGTGATATTCTGGATATATTAGGTTAAATGAAATAAAACTGATTTTATCTTTTTACATTTAATGTGGCTACTGTAAAAATTTAAAGTTACACGTGTGGCTCGCAGAGTTTCTACTGAAACTATGAACAGCATTGCTGTTCCCTGGTGGCTGTATACCCTGCCCTACAACCTGGATGGCGGGTTCACTTGCACTTGAAGTTTTAGTCCCTCAGTTAAGAGATGGGGTTGGTAGGTCCGCTCTTGCTGTGGGGTAGGGTTCTTGTGAACACAGGGATTGGACAGAGCCTTCCAGAATCTGTCCAGCTGTAATAGCATATGCAGAGATACTTGTGAGGGACTTTATAAATAAGGTTATAATATTTAAATATGCTAGATTAAAACCAGCATTATAAAGCCTGTTAATGTGTTGAACTAATGAGTTTTAAAAATTGCATCTTCTTTTAAAGTCCACGTCCCCTGAAGTTCACGGAAAAGCCTAGACCAGGTGTTCAGATGCTTTGTTCTTCTTTTAGTGTTGGTAAGATAAATTTAGTAATTTTTCTTCTTAGTTTTATTTATCATTTATTGGATGATCGTGTTATTGCTAAGAGCATTTATCAGTTGGATGGTAAATGACTTCTGCCCATTTCGTTAGGCTTAATCCAAGATGTTTATTTCATTCATTTTTTTTCCTTGTCTTTTACTCCCCCATTCTACCATTCTCTGATTTCTAATGGTAATCAAGAGTCAGACAGCTGGCGAAAGGAGGCTTAAGGTATCCACGTGAGCCCCCTGTGTGAGATCTACCAAAACTGTGGTTTTCTTGGATGGGCTGAACTGCAGATTTTTATAGTTTAAATTTGTTTTCCACTCATTTTGGTGAAATTATCGCACATTTTCTTTTCTTGTACAGTGAGCTTGTGTGGTAACCTTTCTTGTTAGGAGAAGTCAAAGATTTTCCCCCATAAAAGTCTGAAAACTTGAATGAGTGAACTTTGTATTCTGAAGCTAGGGTTAGGTATGTGAAGTTGTTCAGAAAGCAGAGCCCCTTTTGTCAAGCGTCTTTAGAGTAGCAGCACATACGGTCATTGCCACAATTAATAAAGCAGTGGGAGATAGTGAGCATTTCCAGATTGAATTACTTTTTGAATTAAAGTCCCATCTGAAAAAAAAAAAGTCCCATCTGATGTATGTGTGTTTTGTTTTTTGTTTTGTTTTGTTTTTGTTTTTCAGCACCATCCAGCAATTCTCCAGCACCAGCTGGGTGTCCTACAGTTCCGTTCTAAGACTATCTCCCTAAAGAACAGTTTGGGATCCCACAGGTTAAGGGCTCAGTCCTACAAGACCCCACCTCTCCCCTTTAGACCAGGTTGTCAGCTATGCTTCTGACTGACTGGCTAAAGACCAGAGGTTCCCTCGAGCCCCTCCTTGGGTTTGATTATTTTGTTAGAACAGCTTATAGAACTCAAACATTTTATTAGATTTCCAGCTTATTATAAAAGGATATAATTGAGTAATAGCCACGTGGAAGAGATGCAGAGGGTGAAGTGTATGGACACTCTCTAGACACCCCACTCTTCCCAAATCTCCACATGTTCACCAGCCTGGAAGCTTTCTGAACCCTGTCCTTTAGGTGTTTTTATGGAGGTTCTGTTACATAGGAACAGTTGATTAAGTCATTGGTGGTTGATTCACCTCCCTTCCTCTCCCCCTCCCCAGAGGTCAGGGGAGTGGACTGAAAGTTCCAACCCTCTAATCACATGGTTGGTACTTCTGGCAGTCAGCACCCCCATTCTTAGGTGCTCTCCAAGAATCACTTTATTAATATAAACTCTGGTGTGGGTGAAATTGATTTGTTATGAATATCAAGATACTTTTATCAGTGTTGTTGCTTAGGAAATCCCAAGGGTTTTAGGAGCTCTGTGCCAGAAATAGGGATGAAAACCAAATACCTATATTTTTTATTATAAATTAAAACATCACTCTGTATTATATTAATTTTAAAAGGTCTTTATATAGTGAGTTAGAAAATGGATCTCTTGAGATAAATTTAATTTTGGGATAAAAGATCTTAATTTGATATAGAAATTTGATGCAGATATGTGTTATAAACTGAATTTTTAAACCTTAACATTTTTATTTCAGGTGGTATGTTTTTAGCCACAGGTAGTACTGATCATGTAATCAGAATGTATTTTTTGGGTTTTGAAGCACCTGAAAAAATCGCAGAACTTGAAAGCCACACAGTAAGTATTCATGTTATAAAATTGTATAAATTAATCATTAATAGTATTCCTGTTGGTCCATAGTCAAATATTGCTAACAAAATTGTTATTGATTCTAATTTTAAATGTAGGAAGCGTTGCATATATAAAGGTGAAGGATATTATTGACAACTAAGTATGTGACTGTGCTAGTATTTTGTGGTGGTTATTTCAGCTTTAAGTCGAAAATCTTGATTATGACAGTTGATCTGGGTGGGTTTAGTTTCAAGGGGCCTATTCATTTTAATCACACTCATGAAATCAGAATGGTATTTTATTAATGGATTAAGGATTCTGGAATACCGCTCAGTGGTCAGGTCATCTTTTTTCCTAAAGGAAGTTTTATGAAGTTATTTGATAAACAGTTCCAAATCACTTTAAAAGAAAAATTTTTTTGTACATAAATATAGTGATGCCTTGTTTTCAGCTGCTTTATGTTTTGATCACTTTCCACATGTGTATTTTTATACAGATGTAATTCATTGTAAATATAGTTTTAAATTTATTAGGAAAGATTTTTTTATAGTCTTGTTAGAGTCATAGTTAGGTTTTTTGCACATAAATGTAGGATACATGTTTGAACAATGGGGCTAAGCAGCACAAGTACACATTCTTGTTTTAAACCAAATGTGCTTCTAGTTCTAAAACGGAGTGGAGTTTTTTTGTTTTGTTGACAAACAAGAGTGATCACTTTTGTGTTTGTTTTCTGCCCTGCCCCCCCCCCCAGGATAAAGTTGATAGTATCCAGTTTTGTAACAATGGTGATCGGTAAGTGTCTTTGTGTTTGTGTGTTTTTACGCAAATATACTATGCTTCATATTAGTACAGCTGATCACTTTGTATATTGCAGGCACTTAGTAGAAAGTGTATTAATTGAATGAAAAGTGTCCGCAGTGGGGGAAACACATTAAACATAGGTTTTTAGAATTGTAGCTTCTACCGGGTCCTATGACCAAAAGGAGCTCTCCTATTAAGTGTAAAGATAATGAAATTCCTTACGTTTGAGTAGTTAAAAAAATCTCCCTAGTCAACCACCGTTGATGTGTCATGTGACAGAATTGTGTGGTCCCCAGTTTCTTTCAGGTGCGTTTCCTTTTTTTTTTTTTT